CAAGTAGTTTACTTTAAAAATTCCCTCTCTAGTGTCCAGTTTTTCTCCTGTTGTACTCTTTGGAACAGGCAGTAGTCTTTTTCTGTTATTTAACAAATGTGGGGGGACAGCTAGGTGATGTAGTGGATAGAGCTCTGGCCTTGGAGTCAGGAGGACTTGAATTCAAATCTAACCTCAGAAACTTGACACTTACTAGCTGTGTGACCCTGGGCAAGTCACTTAACCCCAACTGCCTTACCTAAAAAGCAAAAAACAAACAAACAAATGTGGGATACAAGTACTCCTTGTCTTAACATCTTGTTTCCAGGAAAGCATTCCTATTAGGTGAAGCAGCCATACAGGGGCAGTTGATTTTATACAAACAATACTGTGATTGGCACTATAAGTGTGATGCTCAGTGGTTTTCACATACCTTGTTGGCCTCAAAAAGATAGCTTTAATGAGTTATCAGTTCTTTCTGGTGCTTTGGCCCACCAAGTCTTAGTGGAATTTGGTTATGATGGTGTTGGTTGAGGCAGTACTGTGTAGAGTGTGCCTGAAGAATGATTTTCTCCAAATATGTGGGCCTAAACAGCATTGTAATATTTTTAAAGTGCAAGTATGTTATGGGAGAAAATTGGGTGTATATGCAAAGTAAGAATATAGATTAAAATAGTGTATGTATTTTCAGTCAACTGGTTGAAAGCCATTAATTGCATTTGTCACACACAAACCCTTTCCCCTTCAAAAGGAAAACAAAAAACTACCTGTGCAAAATCTCAAAATTGGTGTTGGTGACTTTTCAGCTTTAACCTTTTCAGACCTGGTTAAGTCATGGTTGGTTTATCCTTACCTCTGTATGAACAGGGTTTAAAGTGGTAACTAGTCTTATAATAATATGTATGTACCATCATTTTGTTCATCTGAAGCTTCTTAATCCAAATAAAAATGGAGTTTGCAAAGTGGGAAAAAAAATGATTTTCCCCCTCTAAAGAGCCAAGGCAAATTTATCTTACCTAACATAATGCCTGTACGATAGAAGCATAGAAATGTTTTCATGTCGCTGCCCACATAGGGTCTCTGCCCACCTCATCTGGTCTGGCTGATTAATGGAAGCATTTCTGCTTAGTATTGTCTGTATAATAATAGGAAGTTGCAATAGGTAAGTAGCTTCCCCACCCCAAGTACTGGTGAGGATTCTGGTCGCTATGGTGCCCTGAAGAAAAACCCCTGGAGAATGTCAGTAAATGAATTATTACTACTCTTCTGGATGTTTACAGTAGCCTCTGAAGCAGATTTTCCCAGCGTTCTTTACCCTCTGCAATCAGTCTTTCAAGATGTAGTTCTCCAATTATATCGCTCTCTTACTCAAAAACCTTCAGTGGCTCCCTTTTGTCCATCACAGTCCAAACTCCTAAGCCTAGCATTCTGACACCAATCTACCTTTCCAGACTTATGTCCATACCTTCTAACCTGGACTACTCCTGAATATGTCTGAGATCTCCTATCTTCTGTGCTTTCAGGCTATTCTCCATACATGTGAAGTCTCCCCTCTCACCGCTGCCCCAGAGTAGATCCTACCCCATATTCTTTTTATTTTATTTTCAGTTCCAAATTCTTCCTCTATCCCCTTCCCCACCCATGGAGAAGGCAAGAAATATGATTCCCGTTATATATGTGAAGCCATACAAGACAGTACACATTAGTCATATTTTGGGGGAAGGAAGGCAAGAAAAATTTAAAAATATCGATCTTTTTAAAAAACTTAACCCAAAAGCCACTTTCTAGGAAGGGACCCCATGCCTATTGCCACTTCACCTTATGGACTTTATATTCCCATCACTTCATTTGTGTCTTTCTAATTATAATTCCCTACTAGACAAAAGCTCCACGGGGGCGCAAGGACTATCTTCTGACTAAATGTAGTAGCATCTGCCAGTGCCAGCACAGGGCATAGGGATTAATTTTTACCGAGCTTAAGTATTTTGCACAACTCTTAAGACTAACTGAGGTCCTGAGCTACATTGGCAGAAGCAGTTCCTTGTCAGGAAGTGTAGTCCGTCCACCCCTCCCCCCCCAAAAAAATTTTGTGCACATAGACTAGGAGAGTTGGAAAGGAGCTCAGAAGCCATTTTTGTCACATAAATCCCTTCTTGTTAACGGCTAGGACAAGCATCATCTAAATGAACATTGACATGAGTAGGATGTTCCTTTGTTAACATCTCTGACAAGTGGTCATTCAAATTGTTGTTTAAAAACCTTAAACAATGGGGAACACACTTTGTGAGGCGGCCTTCTTCATTTTTGGTCAGTTGGTGCTTAATAAATAAAGATTAGAACGTGTGCAGATGGATATAGTGGAAAGAATATTATAAATATACTCAGGAAAACAGGGGTTGAGTCTCAGCACTGATAGTGGCTATTTGAACCTGTGGTCCTCTAAAAAGTAGGATTAAGATTTGCACTCCTTGCCTCATGAGACTGTATTGTGAAGAAAGTACTTTGTAAACCTTCAAGTGCTATAGAAATGTGTTAATGTTAACTCATTGGGTAGGGTGGCGGTGTTTGTGACTAAATGATCTAACCTGTACTATTGGTCTCCTTTTCTCACTCCCAATAGGCATTAGCAGTAGGTGGTCTAGGTTCCATAATAAGAGTTCTCACAGCAAGAAAAACTGTTTAAAAAAAAGACTTTTAACTTGCACTGAGAAGACCAGAAGAGTTTGGGGGACCCAGGACAAGGAAGAAAGAATAATGGAGATGACACTGGCCCATCTTCCCCAAAACTACAATGAATCTATTTCAGACCATTCATTTGTTGAAAATGCTTTTTATTTTTGAGGTGGAGGGGGGGAAACCCAATGCTCTGCTGCTGCCTTTTCTGAATCCTGCACATGATCTGACATTCTCCTTTGCCTGGGAGTAACAGAATTGCCACCAATGAAATTGGATATTGGAGAAAGGAGGATTCATTCTGCTGGTGGGTGCTCCTGGGCACTGCTGATGTAGAATGTTGGGATGCCTTTGGCAGGTGTTAGAATTTTTGCTGCTTGGAAAGGGAGTGCTTGTTTGGTGTTATTTTCAAAGAATCTGAGGGTTTGTACAGAAATAGTCTTCCTAGAGGAGGGAGGCAGACTCTGGGGCTGATTTTTATTGTAAAGTGCCTGCTGGATCAATAAAGCTCTTTACTCATTAGTATATTAATTTTGGTGTGTTTCATCTAGTAAAACAGAAGAGTGATGCTAAATGGCAGGGGTTCTCAGTGGTTCAGGGAGACTGACCAAGATACAGGAAAGCTGCATATCTTGGCTCTTAAGCCATGTAGATGGATGCAGCTTGTGGGTCTAGTCTACATATAGTCAGGCCATTAGCTCTGCATCACTACCTAGCTGATGGATCACAGGAAGGCAAAATGATATTTGGTGTTTAAATATTTATTGTTTCATACAACTTCAAGTTTAACTTGTCTGTACATCTTGGATCTTAAGTTAATAAAGTACCAACCGCATTTAATACTTTGTCCATATTTTAAAAGTGTTTTTGTATGGCTTTCTCAGAGGGGTGTTTTAAAAGGGCAAAAAATGCTGGTGTTGGTCAGGTTTGTGAATAGGAGGTCATCACAGTGTAGAATATCATGGAATTTCCCAAACACAGAGGATACAGTTTTACTACAAGACAAGTTTTCCCTTTGCTTAAAACAACAACAACAACAAAAACACACTCATGAAAAATGGGTGGAGGCCAGTAAGAAAACAGGAATCAAATCTAGCACAAAACTGGTGGGGTTAGTGGGATTAGGGGATTTGAGTCTTGGTTGCACCACTTACTAGTTGTGTGACTTTGAACAAGCTAGCTTCATCAGTAAAATGGAGACACTACTGCTTAAGACTGACTTCATGAGGGTGGTAATAAGGAAAATCAAAGTATTAGGTGAAAGTAAGCTGTATAATTTCACTTTCTCAAATCCAGAGAGAGGTATTATTCATATTAAATAAAAGTAAACTTGGTTCTGCTCTATTGTGAACTAAATTTTCTTTAATGAACAAATAAGGATAAAATACTTTTTGTAATTTTTATTACCTTTTATCTTTGCACAGTATTCTATAAAACTACATTCTCATTCATTGTCAACCTGAATGAAGTATAGATATCCTCATTTTGCAGATAGACAAATCAAGGAACAGTGAGAGAAAGTGACAACTTTGACTTGAATTCAGGTCTTCTCTCATACTCTTTGCACTATCCCTGCCTGTGCCAACATGGCCTGTTGAAAATACTTATTTTCCTTTAGCATAGGCTTGCATATATAACTTTTTAGCATGTGTAGTAGTGGCTCCTACTACATGGAAGACTTTGTAAATTACAATGAAGTTAAGCTTCTTGACTCAAAGTTCTTAGAGCATTTAATATAATTCTGTCAAGAGTAATAAAAATGGGGGTAGCTAGGTGGTACAGTGGATAGAGTTCTGGCCTTGAAGTCAGAAGGACATGAGTTCAAATCCAGTCTCTGATACATGACACTTACTAGCTGTGTGACCCCGGGCAAGTCACTTAACCCTGATTGCCAAAAAAAAAAAAATAATAATAAAAACGAGCTGTGCTTAAAAACCATGAACCCTTCGGTTATCATGTATGAACAATACATGATATTGTTGCCTTTCCTTTCTAAGAAGTCAGATGCATAGAGAAGTTGGAGCAACTTAAGAGACCTAATAAGGCCAGCCCTACCCCTCCACTTTTTATTTTTAAATACAGATGAGGTAACAGATGAGGCTCAGAGAGGAAAAGGAACTTTGGGGAAAGTAGCAGAATCAGGATTTGGACTTAGCATTTCACCAATATTTATCTTTACCAGGTGACATCAGAACTTTTAGAGCAGGAAGGGACGGCCACAGACTAACTCTCATTTGAGAAGGAACAAGCTCCAAAGAAAGTCAAATGACTTGTCCAAGGTCACATAGCTAATAAATAGCTCACCTGAAAACCTATTAATTGTAAACAAATCAAAAATCCACCACAGCCTAGATTTAGGAGCTTTAATCCAAAAAAATATTATTGCACCACAAATGAATTCAACAGTTTTACATAATACAATGAATGTTTACAACATGAAGGGAAAGACCCAGAGCCAATGCTCAGATAAAGGATTATACATATGGACTGTATGTATTACCATAGTAGGGTTTTTTGTGTTGTTTATACATGTCAAAGTGTGTCCAGTCAATCTCTCAGTATATATTTACACCACTCTTGCTCGTAAGTTAAAAATCAACATGCAAGGAATCCTTAATCAGTTCAGTAATATACTTAATCAGTAAAATACTTTAAGTACCCAGAGACCTAGGTGGTAGCTTCCCAAAATTATATAATTAACCTGCACCAAGGGAGAGAGATGTCAGATGACTCAGGCAGGAAGGAGTAGGGCCTGTGTAACTCCAGTCTAGGGTGTGTTTGTTTGAACTGAGTATGTAGCTGCTCAGACTTGCCCATCATAACCTCATCTTAGTAGTTCCTTTCCCTTTCCCCTGGGCAAATCTGCTGAACATATGCTGAATGTATTAGAAGTAAAAGAAACTTAGTTCTGTGTAGGAGTGCCTCTTGTTCAGAAAAAATAAAAACGCTTTTAAACATGTCATGTTATAAATGGAAATAATATTTCAGCTCACAGACCTGGCAAGAATTTATCAGCCTTTTAAAACCTCCCCTTGAATGAGAGGCAGCTGGGATAGGCTTGAATATGGACACTGAGCTGTGGGGAGAGTGATGCTGTCCCCCTCTTTGGGAATACCAGGCACTGCTGTACATTCTTGAAGAACTTAGGCAAAGCAATATAAATCTTTATCTTGCTGGGAAAACATCTCCCTCCCTTGTTACTTGGCAAGAAGAAATAACCATTTGGTGAAAACAGAGCTTGGGAAACATTCACATATATATGATCCTGCAACTGGTTCTTAAGTCAGTGGTTAACCAGGAAGAAGTCTTGAGCAAGCTACAAACTGTTTTGAAATGATCTTTTCAAATGCATTTTAAGATCCTACTATGCTGAATACATGTTGATTTTTCCTTAGAAATAGCTGGTAAATAGAATGGTCCCTAGCAATCACAGCCAGAGCATTTCAAGGTAGCCAGCTTTGCAAATCCTATATATGTTACATACAATCTGTAGTGTATTTATACATAGTGGAGGCTTAGTGTTTTTACATACAAGGCAATCGAGGGTGTGCTGCAGTTCTCCATCTCTAACTGGGCTTGTGGCCTGAGGGTAGAAGGGGCAACATATTTTATCCTTACCAGATCAAAGTTTGCTCAGTCTCAATTGTGCATAGAATTGGGAGTAAATCCAGGTTTCTGCTACAAAGATACTGATACTGATTTCTCAGGAGATTGTCCAAGAGTGCTATGGAATTGAAGGGGGAAAGACAGAGAATCTAGGATGGAAGGCATTTCCTTTTACCTCTCTGATTTTTCTCTAAGAACACTGGTAAACTGACTGCAAGACGGAAGAAATGTTTACAAGCAAATTTGGCTTTAAAAAGTATGCTTTAAAATGGTTTACCAGCAACCTGTACAAGACATATACTAGTTTAAAAAGGCAACTGAGTATATTCAGTACTGTATTAACCTTTTTTTAATATTTTTTCTTTAAGAAAAGTAAAACGTGATCCCTCCAGAAAGTTGCATATTCCTCGCTGACTAATATCAGCCCCCAAGGCATAAATCATATCTTCTGACACATTCTGAAGTCAGGACATACCTAGCTTCAGGAACTGGTGGGAGGGATTAAGGACATTGTAGTATTTTCTCCTCCCTGGGATCCAAACCACTAGAAGGGAAATGCCTAGGAACGTCTTTACAAAACATATGAGTCCACATGGGGGTTCCGAGAAAATCAGCAAGATGCAACTTGGAGGAATCAGGTTGTCCTGTACCATTAATGTCAGTCACTTTAACCCCTCGGAGCAGTAGCTGTCCACTGACATTTAGCCCTCTGGATAGATACTAATAATTACAACTCTTAAGTGCTAGCACTAGGGGTTAGAGAAATCCACATGCAAACCTTCTGGGGCCCAAAGTGGGGATTTATAGCAGCACTATATGAAAGAGGAGTTTCCCATTAAGCTACTTGTCATCCCACCCACAAAAGCCCATGGAAAGCAACCCTGTCCTTTCAAAACTGGCCCAATCTCTGAAATTGGCCTGTTAGTTTGCAATGAAGGAAGCTCTAACCATTATTTGTCTTGTAAACAATGTTTCAAAGCTTGTACAAAATACTGCAATTACAGTGATTAAAAAACCCACCCAGACTGGTGTGCTGTGTTCTTTTCATAGAAAAAGTGGCTACACATGGAATTTCCATTCTCAGGTTTCTTTTAAGACCATGGCACCCTAGGATTCGAGATGGATGGCCGAATGCTACCTCTGGGAGATGGCTTGGACCCAAACCACGACATCTATCATTTAAACAAAAGAGCAACAAATGATTAGGATAATAAAGTCCATGGGAAAAAGGACAGAATAGTTCACAAAGGTCATCCATCCTCTGTAGAGAAGAAAACAACTACAGCAACTTGTCACTGGTTCCTTTGGTCTGCACATGCCTCTTGCTGCTAAGCAGGGCAAAAGGTTAAACTTTAAGATGACTGAATTTTATCTGCAGAGAACTGGATGGCTTGAAGGAATGAATCTTTAGAGATCGGATACTTCAGCCTACACTGAAGCAACAGGTTGAGACTTGAACTGAGTTCAAGGCTTCTCTCACCATAACTATGTTGTTTGAGGGTCTAGGTAACAAGTCCCTTAAAGAACTGCCTTAGCATTTCTAAGTCTGGATAATGCATAATGCTTATAAGTCTGGGGAAATAACTCAGAACAAGACCTTACTTCATTATCTGAGAATTACACATAAGCACATTTTGAGAAGAAAGACTGTTCAAAAAATCAGACTGACTCAACACTGAAAGCTGCTTTCATACTTAAGTTCCCTATTATTGCAGGAATTTAAGCAGAAGATTCCAGCATCAAATAAGGCTGAACTAGATGACTTGAAGTCTCTTCTGGTGAGCCTGTATGATTATAACACTGATCAAATTAGAAAGGAATCGGAGGATATAAAAGATAAGCTTCACTATCAGGGAGGGGGTCACCACTCAAATGATCTCTAAGTGCTTGTTACTTTTACTCTTCCAGATTCAACCTTTAAACAGATACATATTAGCACCTCTCACTGGCTCCTTAAGACTCCAGAGGGTTCATTTTTACCCCTGTTCTCATCTAAGACTTGCTTCTCTCTCACTGCTCTGAGGAACAACAGAAAGATCTACCTTATACTCCAAGGTCTCTTTGAGCATGTTTTCTTCCTCTTGTGAAAAATTCAGTAGCACAGACACGGCTTTAATGAGATGAAAAGCCTGAAACAGAAGAGACATTGCTTACTCCAAGGAGAATGCCCAGCACACTGGCAGGACCAGGGGGCGGGAGGCAGATGCAGTGCAGGAGCTGCCTATATATTCCGCTATGTCCCCTCAGCTTAGGAGGACTGCCATAGGGCAATGGCTGAAGTGGGAACACCCCTTTATTTCTAGCCTATAGCTTGATGAGATTACTATGAACCAATTTGTGGTCAAAATTTGAGATATTCCAAGTCAGCAAAAACTTAAAAGGTTTTTTTTTTTTTAAACCCTTCCAGTCTTTTCTATCAATAGCAATGAATGGCCGTTATGTTTACTAAACGAATGCTACTTTGGGTATTCTGTTCTTTCATCAGTGTTGATTTCCCCTCCACATCAAAGCAAATGGTCTTCCTGGACTGTTGTGGCCAAAAAAGATTTATTCTCTGGTGGGTGACTTTTTGGGGATGAGCCTCTCAGTCCATCACTAGGCCTCTGTTTCCCTTCCAGTCCAGCATCTGTAAGAGCACAGGCACTACCAAATAGTCTTTGTCACCCCAGGAACACATCCATAACACGATAATGTACAGACAGGAAAATGTCAGTGTAGGTATCATAATAGTAATAATGAAAGTAATTATTACTACCATTAACAATAACAGCTAACATTTATATAGCTCTTGTAAGTTACAAAGCATTTTTACGAATATCTTTTTTGATCTTCATAAAAATCTCATGAGATAGGTATTACTGTGAATGGTACTGTGTAAGACAAGCTGGGTGGTACAGTGGATAGAGCGCTGGGCCTGGAGTCAGGAAGACCTGAGTTCTAGTCAGGTTTCAGACACTGGCTTCATGACCCTGGGCAAGTTACTTTACCTGTCTGCCTCAGTTTCCTCATCTCTAAAATAGGGATAAAAATAGAACCTACCTCCCAGGGTTGTTGTGAGGATCAAATGAGACAGTGATTGTAAAGTACTTAGCACAGTGCCTGGCACATAGTACGTGCTATACAAATGCTAGCTATCATCATGATTATTATTAGCTATTAATGTATTGGCCTGAATACAGGACACCTTTAAATAAAGTCAGACCCCTAAAATAAGATCTCATTGAAAGAAAAAAAATAGGGATATAGTGAAATAAAATGCACAAAATTTCACTGAAATATTTTTCCTGTGAAATTTTAAGAAACATTTCTTTCAAAACAGAAAAAAAAGATGTTTTATTTCATTTTATCATCATTACCTTAATATCTGTCCCTTTCATTGTTGTTCTCTTATTAGGATTTATTTATAGGCTATGCTAGGGTGTTCTATAAACTAGATATGGGAAAAACTATTACGCTATATTTAGTCCAATATGGACTGAAATGTATGCATGCATGTATGTATATGTGTATTATGTGCTTATCCCATTTACAACTGAGGAAACTAAAGTTCAAAAAAGATGTGAAGTAGGGGCAGCTAGGTGGCACAGTGAATAGAGCTCTGGCCTTGGAGTCAGAAGGACCTGAGTTCAAATTCAGCCTCAAAAACTTACTCGCTGTGTGACCTTGGGCAAGTCACTTAACCCTGATCACCTCACTAAAAAGTAATAAGAAACAAAAATCCAAACCCAAAACAAAACAAAAAATGATGTGAAGTGATTTAACCAAGGCCACCCAACTCATCAGTGGCAAAGCAGTTGCTTGCCTGGGACCTTAAGAGTCTAAGCTCACTGTTCTTAGAGCTTTAGTTCACAGGCAGCTAGAGCTAATGGAGCAGTCAAAGAGCTGAACTTGCAGTTAGAAGAACCAGGTAACTGGTTGTGTGAGCAGAGATAAGAACATCGCAACTCTCAAAGCCTTAATTTCCTCAGCTATGAAATAGGCATGATACTAGTACTATCCAACTCACAGAACTGCAGTGGCAAAATGACTTTGTAAATTTAATTTTACTGTAACTATTAATGAGAAAAGAAAAGCTGAACTTAAATTTAGAAAACATGTTAAATGCTGCTATAAATCATTGCCTAAGTTGTAATTCAGCTATTAAACCTAAGTTTGGGAAAGGGACAGAGAGAAATAGGATGGCATGGGGACCTCAATGTGAAAACTCATATAGGAATAAAAATCTAGGGCAAACTGAAACCAGTGTTTTTACCTCTGATTCCCGACAGGACATGAATTTTAAAACCACATGCTTGAGGTATTCAAAATTTATCTCTCGAGAATCATTTAAGTCTGAGTTATTGGTGACAGTTGTTGAAGCGGTAGGCACTTCAGGATTGGGTTTCTCCCGAACTTCAAAGATATCATTTTCAGGCCGAATTTTCTGGAAGAGAAGAAAAGAAAAAAAAAAAGGAGAAAAACACTGAAATATGCTACCATCTTCCTTCATAAGAAAAGTAGGTCAGATGTCTTAACATTTCTCAGACAGCATGGAAATAATCCAAGTTTTAAGCCCTTCTCCCATGCCTTCTCCCTACTTGCAAACATGGCAAGTAAGTAGTTAGACCAAACTGAAAGTTGATCCTTAAGATATCATAAGATTTAGAGCTGAAAAATACCTTAGAGATCACTGGATCTAACTCTATCATTTTACAGAAGAGGAAACTGAGGACCCCCAAAAAGGAAGTAAGTGATTAGCTCAAAGCCACACAAGTAGTTAAGGGGTCAAAACTGGGATTCAAACCTAGGTCCTCTGACTTCAAATCCAGGGTTTACTCCATTAAGCTGTGCTCCTTTTAGGGGAGCTATGGCCTCTTGGAGAAGGAGAAGACTCCTTCTGAAGCAAACATGGCTGACAGAAAGTGTGGTACACAGGCAAGGTCTAGGTATGGGATTGTTGTGGCTAAGGAGGAAAAAAGCACCAGAAAAGAAATATTCACACGTTGGTCTATCCCTCCTGCCCCCGCCCCGCAAGCAGCCATGTCATGAAAGTTCATCTGGACGGTCACTCACCAGCTCCTTCTGGAGGGTCTTCTTGAGTTCCAACATCCTCTGCTGCAGCTGCTTTATAGTCTGTGGAACAAATGTCATGGCATCAGAGATTAGACCTCTGAGGTCACCCAGCCTCGTCTTCTCCCTCTCCAATTCACAGAACTGTCAAAGGGATTATCCTAAAGCACAGATCTGACCATGCCACTCTCCTCCTCAACAAGCTCCCAATTACATCTAGGATAAAATAAAAACTCTCAATTTTGCATTTAGAATCCTCTCTTTTCAGGCTCATTACACAATGTTCCCCACCACACACTCTGTATTCTGGCCTTCTTTTGTTCCTCACACATGACCTTCTGTCTTACGCATCCGGCCGTGTCTACAGGATGCTTCTCACCACCATCTTCCAGGATCCTCTGCTTGCTGTAAAGCTCAGCTCAAGTGCTCCTTTCTACACGGAGTTTTTCCTGATTCCCCTAGTTTCTAGTGCCTTGCTCTGCCTCCACCCCCTAAATTACCTTGTAATTAACTTTGTATGTATTTTGAACATACAAACATAGACATATTGCTGTCCATGATAGAATGTGAGCTCCTTGAGGGCATGAACGGTCTCACTTTTATAGTTATATCCTTAGTGATTGGTAAAATACCCGGCTCACAATTGGCACTTAATGATGACTGGTTGAATGATTTGTGGAGGCTGGTATCGTGAGAAGGGTCCCTCGTTACCTTGTTTTTCTCTACGATCTGCTGCTCCAAGTCTCGGTTTTCTTTTTGTAGCTGTACCATATCAACACAATCCACTTCTCCATTCAATGTTCTTTCATCACTTGAGAGTGGGTATAAATCATCACTCAATTCCTTTGCTGTTTCTCCAAAAACAATTACCTGTCAGGGTGGAGAAAGTACATCTCAGAACCTCTTTTGCTATTAGTCTTGAGCTTATTCATAGGTATAAAAGGTACAAAAATAAACTATGGAATTTTTTCCCCCAGATATAGGATATCTGCTCGGATTGTTACTTGATCCAATACACTGTGGAATGCCAGTTAGAAATAAATCCCAATTCTTTGTGCAAAGACACAGAGTTGGTGTTTATTTCAGACAAAAAAAGAATCTAAATGGGCAATTTTTTATAGCCCAGACACAAAGTAAGTAGGCATGCCAAACACAACCCAATAAACATTCCCAAAGATATAACAGTTTACATCAGGGTAATGTTAATCTGACTAATGTTTTTTAATAGTACTTATCTGATAGCACTGCTAAAGTTCCCAAAGGTGATCTAGCTTTCTATCTTCTTCCTACTTAACCCTGAGCCCAGGTCACTGTCCATTTCAAATGCTTCTTCAAGCCATCAGCAGTGATAGATTTAATGGGCTGCTATCCAACTGCATGTTATCTACTTCAATTCAACAAAGTCATCTAGTAGCTTACAAATCAAACCAACAATTATTAATTAAGGACCTATTATGCAAAAGGCACTGGATTGGATAATGGGGATATAAAGACAAAATGAAAACAATCCCTGCCCTCAAGGAACTTACATTTTATTGGGGGAGGATACAACACATAAACAGTTGAGTTTATATAGGATAATCTGAGGAAAAGAAGGGGAGATAGCAAAGAAAGACTTCCTATAGGAGGTAGCCTATGACCTGAGCCTTGAAGGAAGACAGGGGTTCTAACAAGCAGGCCCGAGGAGACAGCACATTCTAGAAATGGGCACAGACTGTGCAAAAGCACCAAGGAGGGAGATGGACTGCCATGTGCAGGGATAACAAATAGCTCAGTTTGGTTGGAACACATCGGTACAGATGAGAAGTAACAGAAGTCTAAATGAATAAGTCTGGAGCCAGGCTTTGTGAAAGGTCTTAACTGCCAAGATGGGAATTTGTATTGTTTGTAGTCTATTATTGAGGAGACAGGAGGAGGCCACTAGAGTTACTTATCAGGGAAATGATGTGGCTAGACTTATACTTTAGGAAAACTATTCTGGACTGTGTGAAGGATAGACTGAAGAAGGAAAAGACTGAAAGCTGGAAGTAAGAGGTAATGAAGACCTAAACTGGGATCTTATAAGTGGTAAAAAAGGAATAATCACTAAGGATGTTAAGGAGACAGAACAGAAAAGACACAACATTATTGGGGGTGAAGGGACAAGGGAAATATAATTATGAACCTGGGGATCTGGAAAGATGGTGATGCCTTCAACAGATATAGAGAAGTTTGGAAAACCCAACATTTGAGGTAAGGGGGAAGACAATGATCTCTGTTTTAGACAGATTTGGAGATGTCCATGGGATGTCCAGATAGAGAGGTTAATAAGCTGTCTGTGATGCAAAACTGGGGCTCCAGAGATGGGCTAGATATATAGATCTGCAGCACTAGAGAGGTGGTGATTGAATCCAGCAGAGCTGATGAGATGACTAAGAGATATTCTGCAGCAAGAGAAGGCAGCTGAAGACAGAACCCTGGGGCAGACCCACACATGGGTGTGGATGATGATCCAACAATGGAGACTAAGAACCAGGTGAAAGTAGTATCCTGAAAGCCTAGGGAAGAGAAGTATCCAGGAGGAAGGAGTAGTCAATCATGTCAAATGATGTTAAGAAATCAAGGATGAGTAAGAAGAAAAGGCCTTCATAGGGAGTATTTAAGAGTTTGTTGGCCACTTTGTAAAAAGTGGTTTTGGTTGGTTGGTAAAACAGAAAAACAGACTACGTAGGATTAAGAAATGGGTGGAGGGCAAGTATTGTTTGGCTCTGAAAGGGAGGAGAGATATAGGATGGTAGCTTGAGAATATGGAGAGTCAAATGATTTTTCAAATTATAGGGTATATTTAGACATGTATGTAGGCAGCAGGAAAGGAGAAATTAAAGCTCAGAGAAATGAACGAGGGAGAAGAAAGATTAAAAGGACAAGCTCTCAGAGGATTTACAAAGCTATGGGATCAAGGGTACAACTGTATTTCTTTTTTTATTTTTAGGGTTGGGCAATGGGGGTTAAGTGACTTGCCCAGGGTCACACAGCTAGTAAGTGTTGTGTCTGAGGCTGGATTTGAATCCAGGTCCTCCTGAATCCAAGGCTGGTGCTCTATCCACTGCGCCATCTAGCTGCCCCAAGGGCACAACTGTAAGATTAAAGCAAAGGAGGAGAGAACAGATGATGATGTTGAGGGGCTTTAATATGTAGACTAAGGGAGGCAAGAATTTGTGATTAACAGCATCTATATTCCCAGTAAAGTAAGAGGTGAGGTCCTGTGCTGGAAGAAGAGAGAGAAGAATTGAGGAAAGAAGAGATTTGGAACAGCCACGGTGGAAAGCATGAAAGTCAAGTAGGACTATAATAAAAGGATTGCTGTGTAGCTAGCAGTCAAGAGAGGGGCTGAAATTAGGTAACAAATTGGTTGTGACTCTCCACGCTATTCAGCAATACACTTTTGAGAGTTCAGATGGATGGTGGGGATAATGCAGAGATGGGTTTATGGCAAATGGGAAAGAGAATCATGAGCAAGGAGATACATAGCTGAAGTGGTAAAATATTGGGTTAAGACTATGAACAGGGCAAAATAAGGGCGGAGTCAGGGTAATATACTAAGGAGGGATGGGTGGAGTTACTAGAATTTAGGTGAAGATAAACAATAGGTGTAGAAAGATGGAAGGAGAGGGGGTTCTGGTCAGACAAGAATTTCAGAGTTCTGAATCACAGTAATAGCTCACATTTCCATAGCACTTTAAAGTTTGCAAAACACTTTATAGATATTATCTCATTTGATCATGAGGGTAGAACACTTAGAAGGAATGTTGAGATCAAGGGTGTGACCCTCCCCACATGTAGCTGAGGTCAAAGTGTAGGTCATAGGAACCTAGGTAACTGGAGATGGGAGGGCAGCAAGGAACATATTAACACATCTAATGAAATCTCCAAGCATAAATACAAGGGTTGGTGTGGAACATATGACTGTGCACCATGTAGATATCTACAACCTGGACTAGATAAGGTGATATATGTAGATTTCAAAGGGAGGAAGGATGCTAAAGGACGGAAATAGAAAGGAGGTCTGGAAATGGCAGTTATGTTTTGGGGGTTATGACAGAAAGTGCATACTGGGTCAATACTGGGGAGAGTGGTGAGGGACAGTCTTCTGGAGGACATCAGGTTACTGTGAGTAAAAAATAATGGAATGAGTATGAGAAGATGAGGTCTAAGATAAAGAGAAGTTTGTTAATTATAAATTTGGAGTTCTTCATAGGACAAAGTGGAAGAACAGGAGGGGACAGGTAAGCAGGGCTAACAACAGAGACTAGATATCATGTAGTGGTGGCAGGGAAGAAGCTTTTTGCCTCGGTAGTCAGTAACTCTGAATCACAGAGATTTATTTGATAAGGAAGGAGGAATTTGCTTGCCACAGGAAATGGATGTAATACTATTTGACAGGGATGCCTACCCTCAAGGTTCCTAAAATGGTATTAGGCAATGTCAGTTCTGTCTGAAGCATGAGTGCTGATTCTAGAGGTGAGAGACCTCATATTCGAAATTTTTCATGTATAAACTGATAGGACAATCTCCTATGAAGGGCCATGGGTCTCAACTGTGAAATTATGCAGTGTTTTCTATGATCCCAACCTACTCTTGGATACAGAAACCTATCTTTTTAACACTAGCACTCTCCTGTTTATGCTATAGTTACAAATTATGGAACATCATCATCTCTGAAAAATCAACATGGTAGCTAACCCAAAATAAAATGAAAAGGGGTGGGGAAAAGTGTGAAGCAACAAGCATTCATTAAGGGCCTGCTACATGTCAGGCATTGTGCCATGTGTGGGGGTTATAAATACAAGCAAAAAGACAATTCCTGTGCTCAAAGAGCTTACATTCTAGAGGGGAAGGTAATACATAAAAGAGAACTGAAAGAGAAGTGAAAAGAGTGAGTGAAGGTACCATCCAGGAGGGAATGAAGTATGGTCAGTCTGGGCTCATCCCAAAAAGGAACTCACCAGTGGGAGAAAAGGACCAGCATGGTGGAGTGTAAGCAGACTATAAGGTATTGCTAATGGTGAAATCCATGGAACAAATGAAATGAAGTGACAGCACTGAGCACACATGTCCTACAGACACAGAAAAAGGAGGTAGGCTGATCATGCAGCAAAAGTAAGGGAGAACTGATGGATAGCCTGACTGATGCAAGAGTATCTATGAAATATTATGAGAACTAGATCAAGTCTTCTAGCAATGGATGGATGCTTTATGAAAGATTTACGGAAAGTATGTGAACAATAATGAGGATGAGGTATGCTGGGACAGGATCTGCCTCAATGAAGGGAGCAGCCACACTGATACATTCACAACTCTCAACTTAAGTACTTACACTTCCTTCAAAAGGCCTTTCCTGTTCTCCTAGTATAGTCTTCCCCACCCACTAATCACTGGGTACTTATTTTGTATTCATCCGTATTTCCTGTGCTGTGAACATACTTTATTTACTAATAGAATGTAGGCTCCTTGAGGGCAAGGACTTTGGTACAGAGCTTGACACAAAATAGATATTTAATGCTTATACTTGAAGTATCAAGCCATAATTATTTGATAGCAAAGTGTGTAAACACAGGTATGAATTTCACAGAATCTCAGATTTGAAATAGACCTATCTACTTCATTAGACCAACCTATATCTCAAAAATATCACCTTTAAAAAGAAACCTGACACTGGGTCATCTACCCTTGATGTGAAGATTGCCAATGTGCAGGAATCTTACTACAGCCAAAGGCAGCCCATTTTACTTATGACTAGCGCTGTTAAGAATTTTTTCCTCCGAATAAAACTAGATTTGCCTCTTTGCAACAACCACCCTTTGCTTCCAGTTTTTTGTTTTGCAAGTCAA